ATTCTGTTAATCCCATATCCACACCCTCATAAGTACAAAGAGTTGGTTCGGAAGTTTGATTGTATGTGTCGACACCTCGGTAGCTTATAAGAAATATTGATGCTGAGGGCTTCCCGATCAAAGTTGAACTTATAAACTGAGACTTTCTTTTTTTTCGGTAATAGGTTTTTACATTCCATAATATTATGGAGCTCATTCAGAAACTAGTAAAAGAAATGATAACACGAGAGCGGTTACATCTTTTAATTAATTACAACCGGTCAAAAATTTTATGATTTTTTTTTGTCAAAGATCCAGCATTTTCTGCTTGATGCCTGATGGTTGGATGGTATTTTACGTCCAGTTGCATATATTACATGTATATCATGACGGAAAGGTACTGATTTGATATGAATAGGATTTGCGCTAGACCGGCACTAAGAGCCGATTTTAAAAGTGCTGGTTACACTGTGCAGGAAGACACGTCACACTAGTATCAAAACAATTATTTAATTCGGACGCGTTCAGTCTTTTCTCCTAATCCTAAATTAGCAAATTAAGCGGAGAAGCAACACAAATAAATTTTTAAGTTTTTGATTTCGAACCTACGACCTCTAGCACTAGAGGAGAGACGGCTACAAAGAGACCACTTCTTACATATAGTATATAGTTTAGAATTGAAGCAGCTTCTCCCAGCTATTTTTTTATTTTTAGCAATTTTTTAAAATTCCTAGAAGTGGACAAAATTGGTCATCTCACCGTAGAATAAATGTCAGGATGAATCAAATTTCTCTTTTGTTAGTTTATCAATTCAGTCAAATGTTTGGTTGAACCTGTAATTTCTTATATATACATGTTAAAAATTTTGATAATTTTAAATGACAGTGAAAACCCTAGATACTATGTAACAAAATGCATCAATGACGAACTCTGGTCAGATATTATTTTTTTCAAATTCTCAACCCGTTCATAAGACAAGGTAATACACAATAAATGCAAATTGCCTTCATATTTGATGATATTCAAATGTAGTCTTTAAAACGGCTTCAGCTAGACAAGAACACATCATTGGCTTAAAGGTTTAATTAGAGGTAACAGGGTTCCAAGAGTTAGGAAGGCAATGATAATCAGAACTTTCTTTAGTTATTTAAATAAAGGAGTACAATTTATAGAACAGTGTAACACATAGAGCTTTTGCAGATATTGAACATATAATCAGTTGAAAGATAATGTTTTCTTTATTTCTTTAAATGATACAATTTAAGTTTTGTTTAAAAGTAAAGCATAGAATAATCATTTACTAAAATTAAGGGAGTTCGTTGATTCGATTCCCGGTTGGGTCAAACCGAATACTTGTAAATATGTATTTGCTGCTTCTTCGCTAGGTATCTGGGTTATTCGTGTATTTGTTCATGTTCAGTAGCTTCTTTTCATTCTTTCTTCAGATGTGTTTTGCTCCCCGATTAGTCCTCGCTTCGTCCGTTCGTCTGTCCGTCCGAAACAAATATTCTTCGGATGGAATCTGAATACTCTCTTGCTTAGATAACACGACACTTATACCAGTGAAAAATCTTGAAGAGGGAAAGAAGCCTATTGATTTTGGGTTCAAAGTTGCTAAAAAAAGGTTTTGGTATGACGTCCATTTTCACTGAACTAGTTTTTGTTTAGGGGCCAGCTGAAGCCCGCCTGCGGATGCGGGATTTTCTCGCTGTGTTAAAGACCCATTGGTGACCTTCGGTTGTTTTCTACTCTTTGGTCGGGTTATTGTCTCTTTGACACATTCCCCATTTCCATTCTCAATTTTATTTCGGATGATAACTTGGGTTTCCGTTGTCGTTTACAAATAAAACTTACAGATATTGAAGATATAGGAAAGGGAAAGAATCTTATTAATGTTTAGATTAAGTTCAAAGTAAAGAATGGAATTTTAAAAATATGAGACACAACTCAGTGTTTCTGAGTGATAACTTGAGTGAGATACACTGACTGGGTTGTAATAAAACTTATACAGACAGTAATAGATAAAAGGAAAGAGACAATGTCTTTTAATTTTGAGGTCATTGGTAAAGGTTACAGTTACAACATGTTTGTTACGTTTGGAGGACTTGTTTCTCAACATACAATCGGCATTCCTATGAGTATCAACAGTGGTCCTCTGCTTTCCGACTTGTTCCTTTATACTTATGAGGCAGACTTCATACAGGAGCTTCTCAACAAAAAAAGAAAAAAAAGCTGGCATTATCCTCCAACTTCACTTTGCGTTATATATGTAGATGCTCTTCACTGGATATACTAAGTTTGTGGTGACTATCTTGACTGAACAATCAAAATGTACTTAAAATCAGGGATACCACTGAAACAGTTATTAAGTCTGTCTAACATATAGAAATTGACAATTAGGGTCGGTTTAGAACTAAACTTTTCGACAAATGAGAGGAGTTCAATTCTAAGGGGTGCTCCAAAAGGTTTTTCTGTATATAAGGTCTCTGTAGAAAGTATCTATTACTATAACTTTATCAGTGATATTGGTTGGTTAGATAGGGAGCATCCACCAATATAAGGTTTGAGGAGTATATGCTGGTCGTGCCAGTTTTGTATTTGTTTGTTTTTGTTATCTGTTAACTTTGTAAATATGTTGCTGCAATAACAAAGGCATATTGGATAGGATTGTAAATTTGATATAGCATTAGAAATCTTTTTTATTTGTGCCAATCCAATTCAAATTATTGTCAGAAGTTTTTCACTATTTACTGTGTCTTACATTTCATCATTTGACTTGGATTCGTAGAATCTTTTAAGGGTCGACATTTCCTTACCGGATAGTCACTGTTCACTGAACATAAATGATTGATTAATTATTGGCTAAACGTCCAGTGGCAAATATATCATACAGATTTAGGACCAGAACAAATTAAAAACAAATACAATGGAAATTATTGGCAAAGTGTGTCGGCCGGGATAAACAGAGGAAATCAAACTGCAAATGAGGGAAAAGCGTACTATGTTGGATATGTTTCAAGTTTTCTTGAAACGACAAATGAAAACAAGTTTTCCCCCGCTTTCTTAGTTTGCAAGTTAGTTCTTTGCATTTATAAATCTGTCAGTTAGCGAATTTTAAGTTATTGTATCTCTTAAGGTATATATGCTACAAAAAGTCCATTACTAGGACTTCTGATGCTACCAATATCTTTTTTCTTTATTCAATGCATTTCATAAAAATCCGAAATACTGTCAAATGTGGTGCACTTCGCTTCAAGACAACAACGTTAAGTCGTTGCCGTACTACGTTTTCATTTAACGAGGATAGACAGATCCGAGTTACCCCTTACTGTCGTTATTGACATAACAGTAATTGAAACATATTGTCAGCAAATGCATGGTTAATCATAATCGATAATGCTAACGCTAGTAATTAAACGCATATTTGAATACAAAAATATAAAACGACACATTATTTCAATTAAATTTCTCTTTAAAATATTTATTTAAAAATAATATGATTGATTATATGTTGGATTATATGATAAATCATATTTTAACTAAACAAATCCATTGTCTTTTTTGTAATATAGCGTCTATCTTTTGAAACTTCGTCTGTGAATTTAATTGAATGCCAACCAATGATTTATGGCCTATTAAAAGTAAAAAAAAATCACTAACCGGCACAATTACATGTGTAAGGCTAGACAAATTGTTACATTGAAACTCAGTAGTCAGTTACTTTTTGTATCACGTAATTTTATTGTATTGTTGTAAAGTTGTAAATTGTAATGATTATATCACAGTTATCTTTTGAAATGGTGTTAATACTTGACGATTAAAAAACTTTCACTTGTATTTGCCAGACTCTTTGTCGACATTCGTCAGATTCGTTTTATACTCCTTAAGATAAGTGCAACATTTTTTTTTTTATAAATTTGATTGAAACTCCAAATTCCTTTTTTTTCACAAGAAGTATCATGTTTATCATTACAAGAAATACAGTATTACAATAAAGATACTTCATTGCAAATAAGTGAAGATGTGTTTATTTTCCGAAATAACTAGATTTCAGTACTTTGCTTTTGCACAAAGATTACTATTTTTGGGACATACAGACATGAAATTCAATGACAAATACATGCATTGCCGTAACTTAAGTAATTTTGTTGAAGATTTAAAGTTTTATTCATATTACTGCATACAAAATAGTACCTGTAAAAATCAAGCTGTTAAATGTGATTAAATTACTTTCACTGGACCTATTTTTATAAATCTCTAGAAGTTGACTGCAAAACTTATTCTTTATTGAAATAAACTGATCACATGGTCTCCATTTAAATAGATAAAGTTACCATTTAAGGTTCATCATAGCAAATTGGACAAAAATGGCCGTATTTACATATCAAAAACTACTCTGAGTACAGACTTACCTGTGCAGTTTAGAAAGTTTTAAGGCCTTGCATCCACTAGATATATAAAAGTTAAATGCATTTTGTGTTTCAGAAAGATAAAATATTTTTTGGATTTTGATGGGTATTTTTTTCTGTTCCTGCAGAAGGTGTAAAAATAAACTAAGTTGGGTAAATCTTTGAGATGCTCCCTCTCAGGTAACAACTGTATTGCATTGTATTGGTTGTCCTTGATTGGCATGGACAATAGAAGGAGAATAGATATCTACACAACAATAGGTGAGTTAAAGGGTATAACTGAGTGGACAGTATGAAATGTAATTTAGGTGTTTGTTTATTTTTACACCAACAACAGGAACGAAAACAAATGCCCATCAAAATCCAAAGAAGGTTTTATCTTTCCGAAACACAAAATGCATTTAATTTTTACATATCTAGTGGATGCTAGGCCTTAAAACTTTCCAAACTGCACAGGTTGGTATTTTTACACTAAGAGTCCCAAATGAGCCTGTATTGCTCGCAAAATGCCCGTTTATATCATTGACTGCTGTTGACGTTATATTTCAAAAGCGGGTTCTGTAGCAGTTAAACGTACCCCCCCCCCCCCCCCCCCCCAAAAAAAATGTCCATAAAACACACTTAAAAAATACCTTAAATAAAATTTGGAAAGTGGTTTCCCATATCTCGCTTAATCATATCAGTCAACCATGGTAAACACCCAATAAGACATTATGTAAGTATTTGAGAATTAAATAAATAGTTCATCGGCAAAATATCTTCCACAATGACTGGAAAATGAACAGAAAAAAACGTTACATTTATTAACCTTTCCCCTACAATAAAATAGAAACCCCCACAGCCGTTGAGGCTACTATGAGTTATTGAGTATGTCAACCAAAACAAATATCACAGGGAAAAATAACAACTCATAATACAAGTATATGCTATATATCATACGATTATCTGGTTACAGTGTGCGGGTGAGGGATTTTTACGCTGCGTTGAAGACCAATTGGTGGCCTTGGGTTTTTTCTGCTCTTTGCTCGGGTTGTTGTCTCTTTGACACTTCCCCGTTTTCATTCTCTATTCCATTAAAGGTTTGATATACGTGCTTTTCCCAAACATTTCTAGAGTCGTGTCCTGCATGCGAAAATAATTTCAAAAACTAAAATTTGCAAAATAGTCTTTTTTTATGTCATAGAATTATACATGTAATTTGTCTGAGTCCTTAGTCCGTAATTAGGTCAAAATATGGTCAACCACAACAAACTCATCTCTGATATATATATCTTATAATTATACTTTTGAAACAAAAAGCAGAAGTAGCTCAAAATCTTTAAGAGGACTGAAAAAAGAGAAATGAATACAAAATAAATACCAAAAGGGATGCCACTTTCTCTGTTTTACTTCTCTTTTCTATTCTAATAACGGGAGTATGTCGGTTATTCAAAGGAATATTAATCTAAATTAAAAATGTTCACTCTTGCACTTAGTGGATGGTTTCAATTGTGACTGTGGTTTCACAGGAAGAGAATGTTTAAAGTTTGATGATGGACAAGAAAAGCGAAAAGCTGACTGACGTCAAGTGATAGATTTTTTTTTAACAAGTAGCTAAATGATAAGATCTACTGTGGGCATTGCTGAAAACAAGACTGGCATTTATGTTATATGCTTGACTAACAAATATAAATATGTGGATATACAATAATTGTTACGCTTGTACTATTGTTGACAGTAGTCATTAAAGAAATTGCGTTGCCCATCTGTACTTGAAGTCATACTTGATACAGATGACATTGTATTGATTCGTGGAACATTTCTGAAATCCGGTTTGGAGTTTACTTCTTCATTATTCGATCCTCCAGATGTTCCGCCTGTGTAAATATTCCAGGAGTCGAATTGTGTAAAGCTCTGGTTCCTGCAAGCAAATTTAAAATCAATTAGTACCAAAAAAATAAAATAAATATAAATACTGGAGTTTTCCTGGAGCCTGAATGCCTACCGTGAAGTGTATGAAATCGAAACAAGACAAGTTAGGTTCAAAAGGTCGGTTTTTGTTTACAAAAAAACATTTCTATAAATTAAAATTCTGTATTAGATACATGCAATTGTTTATTCAAATAAACTTTTTTAAATAACAGCCACATTGAGAGTCAAGACGGGGAAACTTTGAACGATTTACTTGTAACTGAGATCCGTTATATCAAAATTTAGATCGCGTAAAACTAAGTACATCTATTCCCTATAGATTCTTGATGTTTTGAAATTTGGCTATGTAAACTGAGAGAGATAAACAAACTGTTGTTTGGGTAACCGGGTCACTCGACCTGATCTAAACGTAGAACCGATGTTTTTTTTTCTTTCTTTTTTTACATTTGTCTGCATGTTGGTCGAATAATACCAAGTTTATTCAAGATAAAGAACTCTATCAGGCAACGTTGCATTTAACTGTTTAAACTATTCCAGGTCTTTGTCAGTTGAATAACTCCGTATTGACTTATATTAAAGGCAAGTTTAAAATAGTTGGTTTGATTCATTTCAATAAAACATACGCAATCTGAAAACCTTAGAAAATTCACATGATATTTTTTTCTAATTCAACATCAATTTTCAAAAGTTGATCGATACTATTAAAATTCAAGGTAACCGTGAATTAAGCACACCGAATAATACATATTTTCACGATTCATGTTGTCATCGGAGATCTCCCAAATCAATTTGATACAGAATGTTAATAATGCATTTTGTTGGCTTTAAAGGTTTTATATACATCTAAATAATGGTTCTTTACTACGAACCATGATGAAGAATTATTAGTTTTCGCTTTATGATATAAATACAGAGGGTAAAACCATAACCTTAGATTTGCATATAACAACAACTTTCACATTGGGACTATCTTTAAGAAGAACACATGCAGTATAAGGCCTTATTTGGTTTGGTAGGATAGGGGACGAATATATAAGTTTCGAAGCACGAAATTTACAACATAAATATTATTACCTTGGTGTAGATGTTTTGAAAATTGACTTTATCAAGAGTATGGCAAAAAAGATTACAATAAACAAAAAAACCGTTCCTCCCATAATAATAGGTCCAATGTAAGAAATCAGTTCATCGGCATCTGAAAACGAAAAGTAAACGAAAACATGTGAATATTAGGTATATGATATAGATTATGTCCAAGTCCTTAAGTTATGAAATCAACTGCATGTATGAAAAATAAGAGTAGCAGTAGTTTGCCAATGTTTAAATTTCGTTAAATCATTTTGAATATACAAATCAAGATTTAACAACTATCGAATCGGAAACGAACGAAAGTGGACGCATCGACAGGATAAACGTCTATTACAATGTTTAAATCACATGCCATGCGAATCCCGACTCAGTGAAATGTCGCGACATATAATTGGACGCAATCTTTCAATTTGCAGAACAAACGACTAATTTGATATCTTTAGATCACAAAACGATGTCTCTCGAAAGTCGAGACACATACTTATCTTAACGGTCATCCAATTCGTGATGGTGACCGTTAAACTTTTGCAGTGTCGATTTCAGTCGTTCTTCCTCATTACACTGCTGGAAAATTTTTGCGTTAGGAGGACAACCCTGTTAATAAAGTCCTTGTAACTAAATAAAAGTATAATGGGGCAGAGAGTATTTCACTACGGAAAAGTGGAAAGTGTACATTAGGAAAATGAAATCGTTACGTTTGTCATATATCATACATTAGTTTGAATTTGCTCATCTATATCAAATTCACGTGAATCAGGCCTTCTAGTGTCTGTAGTATCCTTTATTTCAAGTTAACTGCCTTAACCGAAATGCAAACGTTAGTTAACATGTGGGTTTTTGAGTGAAAGAACATCATCAATATATCTGAACATGAACATAAAGAACATGAAAAGATGCTTTTTTTTTTTTAATTTTACAAGGTTTGAATGAAATCTGCTGCAAAGAAATACTAAAACAAGTCGGCCAGTAGGAGTGTATAATAAGTAACCATTCGAAAACCGACTGTTTGTTTAAATATCAGTCACCAAACTTTACAAATATGTTGTCGATAAAAAGTCAGGAATTTTGATGATAATGTCATTGGTGTATTTGTTGATGGAATCAGTGCGGTTCTTCACAGTGTACGTTTTTTGTGACTTATAGCAGTGCTCAAACGTATACAGTCTTTTGAATTAGCAAAGTCATAGAAAGTCACACAATTCTGATAAAAGCCCCTGATGTCAGTGTAAAGCGACATAACTTATTTATCTTTTATCTAATATATCATGCATAAAATGATGTTGAAAACTCTAGATGTAAGAATATTTGCCTATAAAGCAACTATCATTTTCTCCGTACTTATTTAAACAGTCTGTAATATAGAACTAATAAATGGAACAGTTAGTCTCTAACAACGAGGTTTACGCATACGTATATATGTTGTGTACAAGTAATCATTTTGTACAAATTATAATTTGTATAAAAATATGTACAAATTATAATTTACATTTTGACTTTGTACAAATTTTAATTCACTTATAACTTGAACAATGATTTATAATATGGATTTTGGTGAAAAAAAGCATTGATACACACTAAAGAATTGCTATTAAATGACCACACAGTACATCTACATTTTGTATTTACAAAATACAAAAGTAGTTCTTTATACTAGAGCAGGTGAGTGAATTATGGCATCGGGAATTGCACAAGATCTTTTGACTTTCACATTTACATTTAGAAGTGCTGTACTCTCCTTTGCATTTACATGAAAGAAACCCCTGATAACCTGTTTTAAAGGCCTTTTTAACTGCTTCACGTAGCGAAAGTTAAAGCTCAGGAACGGTTGCTGTGACTAAGCATGTAGCTTTCCCAGCTTTAATTTGACTCTTAGACAAATAAATATCTTGTTAAAATCATACAGCTGTTCCAATTTGGTACTAAAATTCTCCAGATTCAACAATTACGCCTCAGATATTTCGAGGATCAGCTGGGGCACGATCATATTGAGGAATATGTATAATGACAGTAACCCCAAACAACAAGTTCTGATAATTACTGTCTTGTTTCCTTGGTAAGACATTCGTCTTGGATCTATTGGCCACATAGCGCATGCTTCCTGGCAAGAATGGTTGGTGTTTAAATATCAGTGTCATACTCAATTTAGCTATAATCACATTATGCTTGTCCTTGGTGTACACATAATTGTTCTTTCATGTATCATTCTCTGCTAGGTTCAGAACTTTTTGGGCAAATTTATCCTACTGATCAACAATGCCGGCCATGTTTACACTATTACATCAACTGATTAATGACTAAAAGAGTACATAAACGCCTGGGATATATAGCTTTGACAACTTATTAAAGCAATTGATGCCAAAATAAATTGGCCGTTGCAAAGTGTTCAAGAAGAGTTTAATGTGAAAGTCAAAAGATGCAATTCCCTGCTCAAACGAATGATAAAGAACTATTTTTGTATTTTGTAAATAAGGTTTACTGTATGGTCATTTGATAACAATTCTCAAATGATAGTGTGTATCAATGCTTTTTTTCGCCAAAATCCATATAACAAATTATTGTACAAGTTATGAGTGAAATTTCGTCAAATTTTGTACAAATTGTAATTTGAACAGACACTTTTTGTACAAATTAAAATATTGTACAAAGTCAAAATACATATTATAATTTGTTCAAAATGATAACTTGTACACAATATTCAAACTTTATTTTATTTTTGTGATATTTTAAGATACTGCTATGTTTACATTTCTGCAATAACAAATATTTCGTATGTTTGTTTTTTTCGCTTTGTTTAAAAGCAAATTATGATAGCTTTATAATTAGGAGCATAAAATTGTGATTAACAATACAAAATTGCTGCAGAACAAAACCATCGCGGATCTGAAAGTGCCAACAAACAAAAAAGTTTTCCGTGTTAAAAGTACATTGTATTTTTTTGCATCAAAGTTGAACTATGGAAGATAGAAATGTACCACAAAATGACAACGCTTTTGCAAACGAAAAACAACTAAAAGATAAACAAATCAATTTAAACACTACATAGAAGACTTGAAATTGAACAACACAAACCAAAGCAAAAAAAAACCCAGAAAAATATAACCAATTTCATCTTAACAGAAAAATAATTGTTAGCCAGACTATGACTGCCGTTTTAGTAGGATGTTGATTGGATTTGATAATAAATGGTACGATAAATGGTTCTATAAGTGGGCAACGGGTAGAATATTCAGACGATCACTGGAAAATGAGGTATGTTGAATAGGGGCAAAATTAATTCCTTGTAACATGCCATCTACTGGCCCCATAATCAATGCGAGGATTCTTTAACATACAAAGTGTCATAGAATTGAACGTCCTCTTTCTTAGCGGACTTCGCTGCACATTTAGGCATCTCGTGCAGTCAAACACCGCTACCTCTTCAGCTTATGTCTTACTGTCTGACGTATGAAGTCCATGTTCACCATATTTCTATTCCCAGTCAACGCTTGGGGTAGAAAATCATTAGGAGCGAGCACATTTAATAGATACTGAATTTTAGATATTAGTTGTGAAATTTGACTTATCTTTCCAAATAATGTACCATTACATTTAAATTTAACGTGTCCAATTGGTTGTCTTGGTCGTTGCTGTACTTTGCAGGTTTTTGATTGAGGAGGGACTTTACAAATTGTTCTTGTTTAATCCTCACCAAAGGTTCTTTGAATTCAATTTTATATAAAGAAGGAGATGTGATATGACTGCCAATGAGATAACTATATTCAAAAGAAAAGAAAATGTGAGGATGTAAACATCAATACTACCTTCCTGAGTTGTATCTTTATATGTAGTTGTTTTGTCTGTAGTAGTCGTGTCAAGTGGGGTAGAGTCTTGATGAGACGTAAGTGGTAACTGATTTTTAGTTGTCAATGAATCAGATGTGGTTTGTTGAACGGTTTTTGTTAATTGTCTTGTTGATGTCATCAAATCAGTAGTTTTCAACTGTTGTGTTGTCGTATCTTGTGGTGTTGTATCTTCAATTGTTGTTGTACTTTGTGTTGTTGTTTCTTCAATGGTTGTTGTATTTTGAGTTGTTTTTTCTTCAATGTTTGTTGTACTTTGTGTTGTTGTTTCTTCAATGGATGTTGTATCTTGTGTTGTTTTATCTTCAATGGATATTATATCTGGTGTTGTTGTTTCTTTAATTGCTGTTATACTTTGTGTTGTTGTTTCTTCAATGGTTGTTGTATCTTGTGTTGTTGTTTCTTCAATGATTGTGGTATCTTGTGTGGTGGTATCTTGTGTTGTTGTTTCTTCAATGGGCGTTGTATCTGGTGTTGTTGTATCTTGTGTTGTTGTTTCTTCAATAGTTGTTCTACTTTGTGTTGTTGTATCTTTAATGGTCGTTGACTCTAGAATTGTAGTTGTTTCTGTTGTAGTCGATACTCTATCCGTTGTAGTATCAATACCAGTTGTTGTAAAATCTGGACATGAAGCCTATAAGTAATCATAAAACAAGTCTTAATGCAAAATTTGATGTTTCCATGTATTATCGTTGGATAACAAAGTTGCAAAATGCAGAATAAGCTTTTCTCCAATGTTTAAGCCGTAAATTATACGTATTCACAAATCTGTTCAACATTTGTCAAATGTTTGGTCAAGAATTAAGAAAATAAGACATGTGTGATAAAGTTGAAGATTTTTCAGGTGATATTTTAGTATGAATAGTAACTGCTTATACAAACTATTTTAAATAATTGAGTAAAAAATCGTAGACCGACAAAACACAACACTTAACACGTAAATATTAATTTACAACACTGATGCCGAAGGAAGATTAATTCGTATTACAAAAATACATTTTAATTATGCTATATATATTGTAATGCAATGCAAAAACTTTAAAACTATAGAGTGTTTCCTTTTCAGTGTTTTAAAGTTTTGTTGAAATATATTTCCTGTTTCTATCAAACATGATCAATGCAGTAGAATGTCAGGTGCATTAAAATTGAACTAAAACGTAAATCAAATTATACAAATGAAAATAAAAATAACACAAATAGTATTCAGGGCGAATTTACTGAAATAACAATTTATTAATGCTGAAACTAAAGTAATATTCATTGAGTTTATCACATGATATATCTTAAAGAGAGGCGAAAGATGCCAAAGGGACATTTGTATCTACCTAGGAAAACTCGTGATTGGCTGTTGTTTTATATTTGAGCATCAATCTTCAAGTATCATGCAGTAACGTTGTTGAAATATGCATTAATTTAATATAAAGTGACATGTCACATATTATTTTGGTAGTAAAATTTATAAAGCAACACGCAAAAAAAATAATCTAAAAAAATAACAGTTTGATGCATTAACTGTAGTTTGAAATAATCATTATTTATAAAACCATTTATTTTACATTACATGATGTAAACTACATTTTGGCAACGTATTCAATCGTATTTAGTTAAAAGTTACAGCCACTTTCGCATGAAGAAGTAGTTGCAGAGGAACTGGCGAAGATTTGCGCTGGAATTCGTTATCAGTTTTAAACATTCGTGTTTTAGCTTTTCTTTGTCAGAAATAATGTGTAATGTTTTAACATCTGTATTCTTCTTGTAAACGTTTAATCTGTGTTCAAGATCTCGCTGTTCATTTGCTTTGCAATTTATATGAATTTGTGTAAGCTTTTGTAATACGAGTCAGTACATCATATCCCTTAACACCAACAAAAAAACCCATTGGAAACAAAGCATTTAATTTATATTATAAGTAACAGAATAGTCAGATTTTAAACTGACCTGTATCTAATACTAAACTATCAATACTTAACTAAATTCAATATAAAATCTAACCCCATCTGCATGAATGAGATGAAGAGTTGATGCAGGAAACGTAGAAAAGGCAACATAAGGAACTAACTCAAAGTACCATATTCAAAGACTGTGGCATTCCAAAATAAAAGTCCTAAATGATCAGATGATACTGACTAACAGTTACACATCATGTGTGTAATATAGTCATTAATCATAAGTAAATCTTTTTTTAATTAAAGTATGTCACTTACAACAACCACACACGATATCGAAGAGGCATTACAGTCGTAACACTCCTCGTCATAAATTATAATGCTGACTGGGTCACTAAATTCAATTCCATCATTTGATAATCTTAATTCATATCCTTCAGCCATTCCAGTGTTCAAAGTCGACCTTTTCTTACGGTTTCTACTTAGAGTGACAGATACCATGAAAGCAGTCCTATATTCAGCTTTTACCATGACTGGATCTGCATATGTTTTCGAATCGCCGTTAACCTGAGAGAAAATAAAATGAAATATCAAGTTTAGGGTTCCGGAAAAACGATCGAAAACAATTATTTGGAAGCATAATTCCATAAAATACAGACTTAAAACCCTGAAAGGACATAAACATAACAACAAAAGCCGCATAAGGAATCTGAAAAGATATGTATATGTCTAATGATTTGTTGAAACTCAAGCAAATTAGAAAAAATCTATATGCCTGTACTGCCTGTACCAAGTCAGGAATATGACAGTTGTTGTCCATTCGTTTGATGTGTTTTATCATTTGATTTTGCCGTTTGATTAGGGACTTTCCGTTTTGAATTTTCCTCGGAGTTCATTATTTTTGTGATTTTACTTTTTGCATTTCTGTAAATATCGACAATGCGATTTCCCTCCTTTTACGGCTAAAACTGTACCACTTTTACTATGAAGTTTTGAAAAAAAATATATCCTAGAATGGAAAGTTCATATGCACTACTTTTTTTTTCAAAGGTCAACATATAGGGCTGTGTGGCATATTTTCAACATTTATATGCCCCGAACTTCTATGAGTTTAAACTTACACTAAAATTCTGTACTACCCTACCTTGACTTTAGGTCTTCCACATATTTCAATTAACCCGCTATGCATGTGTATATTTATTGGTCCCAAGTTATATCTCTACGAGATGAAATATAGAGATCATTTCTAGGAACCAGTACCTAAACAGAACAAAATATCTATGAATATTATATATCTCCCCAAAAGAGGCGTGGTTTGTGAAACAGCTGTATTTACAAAGTGCAACCTTTAAAAAGGGTAAACAGTTGTAACCACCAAATAGACAATGTTTCGGCATTAGTCATGATTTATCATGCATACATGGATACTTCTTTAGTTAAATCATGACCCATGCTAATAATTTGTCTACGTTGTGGTTACAACTATTTACCCTTTTAAAGATTTTTTACTGTCTACTCTTTAGAAGAATATATTTATCAAATATTATCAATGAAAGTAACGCATCAAGCTCAGGGAAAGTTGACGTTAGAATTAAGAGTATCTCTGTTGTGATAGATTGTAATATAATGCATAAAGAAGACAACAGGAATTACTAAAAATATTGGATAGTACTACAGACAACACCAACCACCAACAACCAACTCCTCAAAGAAAATACGAATACAAATAAAGACAAACAACAACGAACAACATAGTACATCTACCTACTGGATAATCACCAACTTGGACAAGGAAATACCAGACGGCACATAATTCCATGTATTTAGATAGCTTTGCTTTTAAAGGATTAAATTTGAGGTTTGTCTAGAAATCCATATCAAGCGCAACAAAAGCTTTGATAAACTGAAGCTGAGGTCTTACTTGTTGCATGAATGTTGTGAAAAAAGCAACATGGGATATTATTCTAGAAAGAAATATATTTTTCGACGTTATGTAACCAGTGTCAAGTATGATTCATTTTATTTAATAATTAATAATGAATGAATCTAATACGTTTAATGACTGACTGTCACAAAAAGAAACTGTAGATAATAAATCACCAGCAATCTTATATAATTAAACTGGTTCATCGGTTATCAAAGAGAACACCTTTATACTAATCGGCAATTTGTATATTTTACCTAGATCTTACTGCCTGATATTTTTCAGGATCATGGGTAGGACATGATAATCGAAAATATTAGTAAATGACGTCACACTTTAGTGCTGCAACGTCACGTGTTTATGGCCATCCGCATCAATTATGTCAATGAAATACACGCGACTTCATTAACACAAACGAATAACTACCACAACGTTTGTACACGTAAAAACAGTTTTAATAATTATTTTGTTTTATTTTATATTCTCAACCACAAAAAAACCAGTTGTTAAGACAAATTGCCGATAATAAGAATGATAGCATTTTTCTAAACTGAATTTACCAGCCCTCAGGCTCTATTGCAAAACTATGGATATAATTAAAAGTCTTTGATATTAATATGACCCCCGTTTTACATAAAGCTGTACATTTCGCTATACATTTTCATGATCATTTGGAGTTACTGTCTTGAATAAATACCTCAGGTACGTTCAAACAAAACATTTTTTTTAAGTAATTGTTTTTGACGAGATCGGATTGAAGAGGTCCGGTAGAATATTTCTAAATATCAAATATAATGGCATCCAATCTATCTAAGAAGACCACTATAATGCTAGTTGTATTTTATAAATAAAATACTTGGCGCTTGAATTAATATTCATTGTACCACGAGTTGGTCCTTTATGTCAAATATTTTACCATGACCCATAGCAAAAATATAAAATTTTTGTTTTTCAGAATAGAGCGAAAATGTATTAGTTGCGGTTATGTCAAAAAAAGAAAAAAACCGGTCTTTAATAGGCAGATCAATGTTATCGAGTACTCAAATTTTAAATGGCGCTATCCATGAGGGAGATTGGATGTGTATTGCTGATATGTAACTGTGATTTTCAGTGACGTGCCAACATTAATGCAACGTACATCTTACTGTCGCCTTTTCTACAAATAAGCTCTTCTTGGATATCAGGAATAAAAGCTTGCAAACCAGACGCGCGTTCCGTCTACAAACGACTCATCAGCGATGCTTGAATAAAAAAGTTAAAAAGGCCAAATAAAGTACGAAATTGAAGAGTGTTGAGGTCACAACATTCCGAAAGATTTTGCCAAAACAAGTAAAGTAATCTATATCTACTTCTGGGGTAGAAAATCCTTATTATCACGAAAAATTTTAAGTTTTGTAAACAGTTAATTTATAAATATGACTATATCAATGATATTGTTCATGTCAACACAGAAATGCTGACTACTGGGCTAGTGATATCCTCGGGGAGGAAACTTCCATAAGCAGAGTCATCAACCCAGTGATTGAAAATAAACTCATCACAGATTACAGGATAAAATTGTGCACGCAAGACGCGCGTTTTGCCTACATAAGACTCATTAGTGAGACTAGTTAAAAAAGTTAAAAAGGCCAATACAGTACGAAATTGAAGAGCAATGAGGACCCATAATTCATAAACTGTTTGCCGAATACAGCTACATGTACGTATGTAGTTTGTATGTATCCGTGTTTATTCATAACTGACTACGACGTACGAGGAAATTTGAGGAGACCCGTATACAGATACACTGTTCATCGTTAACTTCTCAATACAATTATTTGTCTATTCTCGTGTTTTGATATTTTTAAAATGTTAGTTTGGTAATCATATGATATATCCGTTGACATTAAGAGCTCAAAAAAGGTGAAAAAGTCTATGTTAACAAAACGTATTTGACTAACAGGTCGAACAACTGATGTTCTTAAACCCTGAATTTTAAAGAGTCGAAATAGGATGAACGGATCATATAAACCCGAAGGAAAATATAATACAAGCCCAAACGAAAAAATATATAAAAGTCTAAATTGAAAACAACGTTCAAACCTATGATTGCGTTGGATAAAAACCGCAATTTTTATACTTGTGCATGTAAAACAAATTTCTTGGTAGAGGGGTCTAAATACAGCACAAACAACAATTTCCAAAAGACCAAAAAAGGTGAAAAAGTCTATTTTAACAAAACGCATTTGACTAACAGGTCGAACAACTGATGTTCTTAAACCCTGCTGACTGCCATTGGCGATTGCCAACTAAATTGATCACCAGATCAAACGAAGTGGATCGTTAATATTAATTTAATACCAAACAGAAAACAATAAACTTGTGGAATAGATGGTATACCACAAACATGAGGTGCAAAAATTTGTACACCATATCCGGATTTCGACAATTAATGTCTCTTCAGTGATGTTAGGGATCGAAACGGTATTTGGGAGGCCATAAAATTTACCTCAATTTAGGATAGACTCTTGAATTTTAAAGAGTCGAAATAGGATGAACGGATCATATAAACCCAAAGGAAAATATAATACAAGCCCAAACGAAAAAATATATAAAAGTCTAAATTGAAAACAACGTTCAAACATATGATTGCGTTGGATAAAAACCGCAATTTTTATACGTGTGCATGTAAAACAAATTTCTTGGTAGAGGGGTCTAAATACAGCACAAACAACAATTTCCAAAAGACCAAAAAAGGTGAAAAAGTCTATTTTAACAAAACGCATTTGACTAACAGGTCGAACAACTGATGTTCTTAAACCCTGCTGACTGCCTTTGGCGATTGCCAACTAAATTGATCACCAGATCTAACGAAGTGGATCTTTAATATTAATTTAATACCAAACAGAAAACAATAAACTTGTGGAAAAGATGGTATACCACAAACATGAGGTGCAAAAATTTGTACACCATATCCGCATTTCGACAATTAATGTCTCTTCAGTGATGTTAGGGATCGAAACGGTATTTGGAAGGCCATAAAATTTACCTCAATTTAGGATAGACTCTTGAATTTTAAAGAGTCGAAATAGGATGAACGGATCATATAAACCCGAAGGAAAATATAATACAAGCCCAAACGAAAAAATATATAAAAGTCTAAATTGAAAACAACGTTCAAACCTATGATTGCGTTGGATAAAAACCGCAATTTATATATATATATATATATATACAACATGACAAACTATTATCATTTTTTTCCTATATATATATATTCAAGATCCCTTTCTAAGAACACAAGAAACAACTAAGTTTTAAATTCAATACCTTACGTTATACATTGATAATGAAAATGGACTAAACTTGAAGATATGTTACGAAGCTTATGTCATTGTTTTTACATAACAATGTTTTATTTTGTTTAATGATTTAGATCCTTATTTAACACTTAAATAATAATATTACACATGCGATCTTTGACTTTTGCGGGGATTATAATCCTTTTTGAATAGTCATTTAAGCATGAGAAACAGAAGTATAGCTGTACAATTTAAAAACTGGTTGTGTTGCAAAGATACGTTTTTGCAGTTAAATGATGTATTTTGCTAAAACCTTTTGTACAGTTTCCATTGCCACTACAGTTGTTTGTGCATAGTAGGCTGGTTATGTACTCCAGTACAGTTTGTGTACTATTGTCTTTCTCTGCCATAGCCATAGTTTCGTTCCGTAATACTTCCATTAACGTATACGTTTGCATTGCACTAACTGTGTCTTTTGCAAAAGTTGTGTCAGCAGTAAGCTATAAATATAAACATTAAATCCCTCATTCCTTAATTACAATAATTTACTTATAATAATGCATGCGACTATTCCCCTTCATTTGATTACAAAGGCGTTCTAATTAATATATTTTACACATTTAATTCTGTCCGTATTCCTTACAATGCTTTTCATGTTTCAATTGGAAAATGTCATGTACTAATAACGATCATATACTTTCTTTTATAAACAAGGATATTTTTGTTTTTTTAAATAACTTACCTCATACCAAGGAATTGACTTCTGTTTTATAACATACAAGTGTATAGATGAAGGGTATATAGGTAAATACTGTAAACGTTACTTATTGATGAAGATGCAGAATACATAAAAAAAAAAGAATGATCAAAGGCATCATAGTTTATATTGGCCAATGAAATGAAGTACTTCGTAACTCATTGCAGACAAACAATACGAACCAAATGATTAGTGAAAACATGTACGTGAAAAGCACTTGTTAGTGAATTGACAAAAAAATAACCTTTATGTCCTCAACACAGGACTCAATGTATTCTTCCTCTGAAAGAATAATCCCATTTTCTAGAAGATCTGTTGGAATTTGGTCTTTTATAAGTTCATAGCATGTTTGGTTTGCCTTCTCTTCAGTCCAACCATTTCTGAAGCTTCGTGTCTTCAATAATAAATTTAAAACATCCATAATACTATGTCAGTCCGACAAAACAGTTTAATGCATAGCAGTTTCCTTATACTTGTTGTTTTATTGTAGTTATTTTGATTAGATAAACAGTTTTAAACAAAATTAATATTCAGTTGACTCACATTCGAAAAAAGCATAACACAAAGGTTCTTTTTACATAAGAATAATTCAAAGAAAGTATAACAGGAAAAGGAGCTCTTTTAGTTGTTATCATGAAAATAATAGTTTAAAATACAGTTGTATGTATCATGTCTATCTATATGATATATTTACGATAATGCATGTAATTTTTTTTTGTCGTTGTCTCATTGATTGCATGTTTAAGGGCCATTTGTGGACTTGGGCAACCTTCTAATTTTTTTTCGGGTTGTTGTTTCTTTGACACATTTCCTGTTTCCATTCTCAATTATATGAATATACCAGCCCCGTTTTATCAAGCATAATTTCATTCATCTTCTGATTATGAGATTAACCATAAACAAGTCCGGTTGAAATGAGTATTGATGAGGAAATATTTAAAGAGATATAATGCTCTTGACATGTTTATTGCGTCCATTTTAATGTTTTAAATGTCAACAAAAAATATTAACACTCCAACGAATGAATGCAAGTCTGTTATTTACTTTACAGGTTTAAGAGTCAAAAAATGATATTTAAGAATGCAGTGATTGTTTTTCATTTTCTGCAATAGTATGGATAGGAATTTATGTGATGGATCATACAGTCTTAGCTTATAATGATATTGCAAGACATATAGTTCTATCAATATAATTAACGATATCAAAATCGGTGGACATATGTTTTATTATTATTAACTTTGCAAACGGACCTTAATTTCGTGAAGCAACACGCAAAAAAATAAATAAATGAACCCCATTCTCAACAAATCTTATGACTATATTTATATGTTTATGCAAGAGTTGCATGTGTTAGAGTACATACCTTTGTTTGTTTTTATATATGCTGTGTTGTTCAGTTTATAGTGGGTTTAGTTGTCCTTTGGTTTTGAACATATTTAATGTCGCTTTGTTTAAATATGTTAAGTATAAAATTTCTACATAGATTAATATACATTTTATGGATTGATATATATCTTTATAAGAATAATCTTAAATATTGAAGACAAAATTAAAAGTGATTTTGATATTATATGCGTCAATGACTTACAAAGTTGTTGGAACTGTTTACATCATCGTCATATTGTAAAGGTTTAACATCGAGGACATCGTCGGTGTCGGATGTACTACGACGTACGATTTTATGACCTGTATTTACAGATCGTTTCTTTCTGCTGTAACTTGTTGAAATGCATGGTGTAACCAGTGAACCGATTGAATCGTCATTAACAGTTGGCATTGCCGAAGAACATGTCTCTGTGCTCTCTGTTAAATTACACTGCACGATGTTATATGAATCTAGATCACCATTGTAACCTGGAGCCTGTCTTTCACAAACACAATAACGATCTGTTGCATTATCATTTGTAGTATTTTCATTATCAATAATTATACCAACATCCAACGACAAGAATGTAGGGTCCTCTATAAAAAGTTGTTCATCGGGTGTATCGATAACAGTTATCCTGCAATATTTGAATAAAGTGCATACATGATTACGTATTTAATTAACATCCCTGTGAAAGGGAAGAGATGGTTTTATTTTATTAAAAAATAAAAACATTTACAGATAAAGTCGCGTGTAAAAATAATATGAAAAACAAGAATGTGTCCATAGTACACGGATGTCCCACTCGCACTATCATTTTCTATGTTCAGTGGACCGTGAAATTGGGGTCAAAACTCTAATTTGGCATTAAAATTAAAAAGATCATATCATAGGGAACATGTTTTAAGTTGATTGGACTTTAACTTCGCCAAAAACTACCTTGACCAAAAACTTTAACCTGCAGCGGGACAGACGGACAAACGGACGGACGGACACACGAACGGACGCACAGACCGAAAAACATAATGCCCCTGTATTATCGTAGATCGGGCATAAGAACATAATTTATATATTTCGCTATTGGATAACAGTCAAAATATTTCTTATAAAAAAAAAATACAGGAAAATAGATAAAATAATAATAACTATCATTCAACTAATGTACAGACACCTTTTGTTGAAGAACTGTTGCCCTCTAGATGTGTTTTAGAAATTTTTACCGTTTTATTGTTGTTGTATACCCACATCCCTTTTTATTCATATTAAAATAAACTGTTGCTTTTTTGGCAATTATTCAGTTATATCATGTTAATTCCATTAAAATACCTACCTCCACGAATCAGCAAAACTACGCTCATCTGAAACTGACCCCGAGTTTCTATGTGTAAAGTCGTCAGATGTGTCTTGAACCAAACTTGGTACACCACACAGTCCCTTTGCTTCGTTAATGTCAAATATAGATGGTTTAATAGATACACTATTGATCAACATTGACCAGGTTGATATGGTGAACTTAATTTCTGTTCCTGTTGGTAATGTTATCTACAATAGAGTTAATTAAGTTGAATAGATGTAAAGACACTTTAAGATAAAAAAAAAACATAATAAAACTAAATGTGTCAGAACGACACGAATGGCCCCGTCTCAAAAAGTTTTAAAATCTGCAATTTCAACAACACATGTGGACACACACATGCATGGATAGTATCCAGGTCTTAAGACCAATACTAGTTTGATGAAAAATTTCCTTGATCAATGAGTAGTTAAATTTCAAACTTTCAGCAAACAGGAAGTGGATGTACTGAAGATGTGTTGAAACGACATGAAAATCAACATATCGGAACGAAACATAAACTTGATCTGTAACTCATCATGATAGACTCACATATCAAAAATCAGCCCAATATCTGAAGGCGTATAAAAAAAAAAGTCCGTATAACTATGATTTTCATCAATTTTCAAAATCCAAAACCCGTAATTACGGCAAAAATCAGCAGAGCAGAATGAAACTTAAACTTGAACTGTAACACATCATGGTTAACTTACATACCAAAAATCAACCCAATATCTGGAGGTATTTAGAAAAAAAATCTGTATATTATTTACTGTGATTTTCAACAATTTATCAAAGTCCAAAGCCCGTAATTTCGGCAAAAATTAGCAGAGTGGAACGAAACTTAATCTTGATCTGTAGCTCATCATGGTTAACTCACATACCAAAATTCAGCCCAATATCTGAAGGCGTCTAGAAAAAAAGTCCGTATAATGGTTTGTTGCGGAATGACAGAATGACGGAATGACGTAATAACGGAATGACGGAAAAGGGTAAAACTATATGGCCCCGACAACTTTGTTGCAGGGCCATAAAAAAATTGGAGGGAAAGAAGGCTTACGAGAATACAGATAAGATAAATAACTCACAAAATCAAAATACTACGTGTAGTACTGAGAAATTCTACCTTCCTTCAAGTAGTTAGAAATACAGGTACGCGTAGAAGGTTGACTTATTTTCTTATTATGTTGAATTACTATATAAGTTAAAATTTGAAGAACTTAAAGTAGTAGAGAGTAGTTTACCGATCGTCAAATCTCGTGAATCGATTAGGAAGTGACAATCCAAGGTAACAAGCAGGAACTGAGGGAATCGTAAGAATTCCATAATGAGCGAGAACAGGTGCATCGGCAGGGTAAGCGTTTCCTGCTATGCATGCATGACCCGCCATGCAAATCCACACTCAGTAAAAATGTCACAATCGGGAATAAAAAACAATCGGTAAAATAACAAATAAGATGACTTTACAAGTATCTAAAATCAAAGACCGCGAAAACATGGTGTTAGTGAGTTGAGACACCGACACATCGCAAAAACTGTTTTTCTTTTGCGGGTTTGTTCAGATTGTAAAATTGCAAAAACAAATACTAGTATTTCTTTTTGTTTACCTACATTACGGGGTTTTAAGCAAAAGTATGAAATCAATTGTTCTTTTGGATCATGAAAGCATCTGTTTTACATGTATTTTTATCCTTCTATCAACCATTTCATTATTCAAAAAGAAGTACATATAGACTCCAACAATACTCTTTTGGCATGCAAATAATATTTTCGGGTTTCAATCATCTGTTTGTGTCCCCTTCAACTTATGACATCGGTGATGATAAAATCATAAGATGTCTGGTCACAATATTATAACATTAAGAAAAAAAAATTGTTACTATGCATATTGAAGATAAATTTAAAATTAACAGAAGGGATTTGAAGACTTATGATGAGTGTTTTTAGCCTGACTTAATTATCGTGAAACTACTCTCACGGTAAGTATAGTGTGCGGCTAGGATCGTGGTTTTTCGAGTGAATCTGTCCATTTTTTTCGAGTGTAGATGGGGCTTTTTCGAGTGATAGAACATGCGATCAGGTCAATTAACTACTAATTCGTAATTATAATAGTTGTTTACGTGACTAACCCTCTTATTTTGCATACTATACATGTTTTGAGTAACAAAGAAGCACAATTTCCTTGTATTTAACCATTAAATTCAGTGTTTGTTATTGTCCGGGCTTTTTCGAGAGAAACTGTGAAACCGTCCGGGGTTTTAAACAAATGGTCCGGGTTTTTTAAAGAAAATTTTAATAAGAAAAAAGTTATTTCTGACTTTAAAAATTGACTTTTCTAGTATATAAATGTAATTTAATGAATGAAAATATCATATATTCTCAATAAATCACCAAAACATATTACTACGTTGATCAAAATTAACCTTTTTCAATTTAATGCAAGTTTTCTGTTCGGAAATCGTTCTACCACAACTTTCCAGTATTAAATTAGAAATTATTGGATCCTTTTTAAAAAGGTCTTAAGAACATAGTGCAGGAGACTCATAATCTTTTCAACTTCATTTTATGGTATTTTTGTTGTCACAGTTAATAATATTTTTCGTGGTGAACCCCAGAGTTTTTATACGGTACGTATTATGGTATACCGTTGTCCGTCCATCGTCAGCATGTCGGACAAAACTCAAAAACGCTGTAACCAATTTACATGAAACTTCGTTGAATTTTTTTTATCTATTAAGGTATCCTCCCTTTCGAATTTTATAAATTTTAGATTTTACGTTTTCGAGTTATAGGTTTTTATTAAACAAACTAGAGGCTCTAAGAGCCTGTGTCGCTCCCTTTGTTCTATGTGCTGCAGTGCATATTAAACAATGGACACTCTTCTACATTAAAGACAAGAATATAATTCATGGCAAAATTCTCTGTTTTGGTGATGGTGACTTGTTTGTAGATCTTACTTTACTGAACATTCTTGCTGTTTACAGTTATCTCTATCAATAATGAACTTGTTCCATAAGTATTAGAGGAGAAGATTTCTGTAAAAAATGTTTGCGTTGCACATGATCCGCTATCCTTAACATTAAAATACAGTTATTATGCTGCTCAGATTGTGATCTGTTCAACAGCAATTAAAAATCTAGACGTATATATCTGAGCATCACGGGACGACACAATGTAAAAGTTAATGGACGACGACGGACATTTTTGTTACGACGGACGCCAAGTGATGAGAAAAGTTCACTTGACCCTTTAGGGCCAGGTGAGATAAAAAGGGGTGATTTTACAGTTTTCGGACAATATTTTTAAAGTGCTTTGAGGAGTTTTCATGAAACTTTGGTGACTGCTTTATATAGATTAAGGTTACCTCCCTTTTAGTTTTTTTTTATAAATTTTTGATATGACATTGAGAAATTATTTTTAGGTTTCATAACGAGTGATAATGGATATCGCTTGATATCAACTCGAGTTATTTAATTTCAATATAATATTAAACGATGCTCCGGCGAGTTTGATATCAACCGTATCATGCGCACGTGGTGCAGCTGTTTATTAAAAAACCGAGTAAGAAACCTACTGGACAGCAGAGAAGAATCAGAAAAATGCATTTGTTTTTGTTAGATGTATTTCTATTTGTATTCATCTGATGAGTTAAGCCTTTTTCAACTGATTTTTATAGTTCGTTCTTATGTTGTACTGTTACACCACTGTCCCAGGTAAGGGGAGGGTTGGGATCCCGCTAACATGTTTAACCCCGCCACATTCTGTATGTATGTGCCTGTCCCCTAGTCAGGAGCCTGTTATTCAGTGGTTGTCGTTTGTTGATGTGTACATATTTGTTTTTCGTTTATTTTTTTTACATAAATTAGGCCGTTAGCTTTCTCGTTTGAATTGTTTTACATTTGTCATTTCGAGGCCTTTTATAGCTGACTATGCGGTATGGGCTTTGCTCATTGTTGAAGTCCGTACGGTGAGCTATAGTTGTTAATTTTTGTGTCATTTGGTCTCTTGTGGAGAGTTGTCTCATTATCTTCTTTTTTTATATGTAATAAAAAATATTCTACTAAAAGACACTTTATCCGACCAGTTTTTATTCCCATTGACAATAACATCTGAATTAAATTTCATATATAGTTAACAATGAAATGAATAATTCATCAGCTTAATTCACTCTTTGTACGTACGTCTCAATCCAAATTATCTATGCTTACATTAGATTGTTGACATCATGAATATATACTGTACATGTAATTTATTAGATGTGACAAACAACAATATATACAGATGGCTGATACTTGTTTATAAAGTTTAAGTGTTAGTACACCTTTATTAAACTGATGAATGCATTGGTTTCGTGCCTTAAAAAGTACATAATTTGAACCCCTTTTTATTGTTTTTAAACGTAAATACACTGACACACAACATTCTTAGCTATAGGAAATTTGTATAATCACTCGATAAAACACGGACGCACTCGAAAAAGCCCGGACTGCTCTCGAAAAAATCCGAACACATAGAAATGAATTTCGTTTCAAAATATCGTTTTTCAATGCAATAACAAGAATTTTTGTAAAGTTTCTGTATATCTAAGGATATATGGATTCCATGTATGCATTTCCATCGACGTTTGCATTGGTAGTTGTATAAAAATGGCTTTATTCTGTTTTTTGGAATAAAAGCATTGTAAGGCTAAATTCAACTTTTTGAACGAAAAATAATGTCGGATTGATAATATCTTTTTATCTCAAATACTAACACACCTTGTATATACTTGTATATTAAACTCAAGCTTCCATATCACGTCTTTTCAGAAAGTAAGTCTGTTTGTTTACATTTTTGATCATATTCACTCGAAAAAAAGTGGTCACACTCGAAAAAACCCGATCAAATCACTCGAAAAACCACGATCCTAGCCGGACACTATACCTACCGTGACTCTGTGTAAATGAAAATTACAATTAAAACATTTCGTGCGTATGAAGCGGTTTTCTTAATGTACCTTCGTCATGATCGGGAACGCTCAATCCCAAACATTTCAAAGCAATTGATGTTATAAGTAGAAACGTTACAAGCTGTTTGATCAAAAGGGAGGGACGTAAAAATAATAGTAAAATTCATCTAAGGTCAACTTTGTCTGGGGGAGTTAGAAAACAAGTATTCTAAAGAATACCTTTATCAACGGAAAACTAGAATATTTTAGTTTTAATATTAATGATATATCCCCTCATTCTGATTTGAGTATGCACTGTCAAATTATAGACTAATCGGGTATCCTGTTTCTATTATGAGTGAATGGAAATATTTAAATAACTGTGTCAATCGAAGTTCATTTTTCTTCTCTTCACCTTCCGTGTTCAAGCAAATATTTCGACGACCCCAGGGGCCGGTAACAAGAAATTTTATTAAGAGAGATCGTAAGTATTGAATTAAGGGGAAGATAAGATAATCTTAAGATAATTCAAAGAGTGTAAACCAAAGCTCCCTCGGGTTGTTCGTAGATCGGTCTTATTTCCCCCTTAAGTTGCATCGTAATAGTTTTCAAGTTACGAGTTCTTAATAGTTTTCCGGCGTCTCCGTGTTAGGTTCCTCACAACGAAATTAGAATCGCCTCAAATGAATCATACAAACGTTTTAATGAACGGTAAAATGCGCACGATAATCAACTACCCATTTAACCTAAGGAAAACAATTCTAACGGTCTATTCTAACAACAGCATGGCTCAGAATAAAAAAACAAAGGGGAAACAGCCCGCCAAGCCAAGGAAACCAAACTTTAATTCAGATGAATTAGAGATACTAGTCGACGAGGTTGAAAAGAATAAAATCATCCTCCTGGGCAAACTCACAGATACAGTAACAAACGAGAGGAAGAAAAAGTTGTGGGGCACCATAGCAGCAAAAGTCAGTGCAGTGGGGGACCATAAGAGATCGTCCGATGATATGAGAAAAAAGTGGCAAGATTGGTCCAGCATAACAAAAGGAAGAAAAGCCAAGCAACTAAGGGAAAGTACTGCAACAGGCGGTGGACCTCAAGTTGTGGAACATTTTACACCACTTGAAGAAAGAGTTTTAGACATCATGGGTGCAACTGCTATAGAAGGGCTTCCTACAGGGCTAGATTCATTCCTTCCTCAAACCATAGACACCAATAATATTGATACAAGGTCAATAAATCTTAGTTGTCATGAAGAACTTGATTCTGATGAGGATGAAACATATTCCATTGAACTTGAAGGTAAGGATGCATCAACATCCCACGAAGATCTAAATGAATCGGCAGTAGATGAGAGAACTGAGAGAGAAAAGGATTGATCAACAACTTCAGCAAGTAGTCCGTGAGGGAGAGAAAAGAAGGAGAGAAAAACAATCTCAAGAATGTTTGGATAATAAAAGATTATGTGTTAATAAAGTGCGAACACAGTCAGGGACAGCAAGTACAATCAAACAAAACAAAATTATTATTGATGATGACGATTTTAGATCAGAAACACAAAGTGTTATTAAGGTTGAAAATGATAGGCTCAGTAAAGAGAAGGACAGATTGGAGGTAGAAAAAAACCGTTAAAAATTGAAATAGAACACTTGAATGTTGACAAAGATAGACTTCAAGTTGAGAGTAGTATCGATGAAAAATTATCAAAGCTTGTAGAAAAACACGATTCCAAGGTTGGAGATGAATATGTTGAACCATCCCAGTTTACACAGGCATCAGGCAGCTTGCATTATTCTGGAAGTGTTCCACAACTTTTTACATTGTGAAATGAAGTAAGTCTGACCTAAGAAAATACACATGTTTGAGATTATGTCTGTTAATATTATTATATATGCAATAGGTCTTAACCATTTATTTGTATTTTGTAAGAGAGCTACCGTTCGATTATATATATATATATATATATTTTTTTTTGGGGGGGGGGGGGGGGGGGGGAGGGATGGGGCTAGAATGATATTGAAAAAAAATGCAGGACAAGAGTTTTGAGTTAAAAAAATGCATGATGAGCAACTGGCCCAAAAAAGGCAGGATAATTTTTTTTTTAAAAGTTAGGATAAACAGGACCGAATAGTATGAAAAATGAAAAGGCCGGTCAGAGATTATAACTAAAACAAAATGCAGCACACATTATTTCATCCTAGTCGCCTATAAAAATCAAATAATATCTCCATAACCTGTACAAAGTCAGGACCAATTCTATGTACAAAATGTATATTGTTAAACAATGTAGACATGCATGTATTGAAGTATACATGTACATGTCTTATAATTGTATATTAAAAATTACTTTATTTATCTATTTTTTGATTGGTTGAAAAATGTGGAACGATGTTCTATTGTGAAAATTTGCAGATCTACATAGCTGATGATAAAGATAATATGATCATTGACAAATCTGTAGAGCACTTTCTACCATTACATGTATACACGCCTTCTGACGAGTCCACGAAGTGTTTTCCAAGTGGCACCTCATCAGTATCCAGTGAAAATTCTATTTGTATTCAGCAACATCAACAAACAGATTGGTTTATTCAAATAACACATGATTTATCTATTACATTGAAAGATTTCCATCAAAGGCTTATTTCATCACTTCTAAATATTTAGTGTTTCTGTAGCTTGTTTTTGGTACAGTACATAGTACTAATGTGAACGTATGATATCCTTATTGATACAAGTATTATGTATACTTGTATGTATATGATGTGTTAGGGTGGATATTCCTAGTAGAGACTGTTTTTGTTTTATTTATTTTTTTTATGCTTTTTACAGTACAAATATGTACGTTCCAAAATTGCAATACGTGTATATCATATTCAGGGAACCTGTTTTGTTTTATAATTGTTATTGAAAGTATTTCTCATCTGTTGATGCTTATTTATTTTTGTTACTGTTAATTTTAATGGTTACATGTATGTCAAAGATTACATATGTCATGTTATACATTTGAAATAATTTTATATAAGTATAGGTTTTACAGAGGAATAGTTTGTTGAATTTATATTTCTGTTAAAAAATATTGGTTTTTCAGAGAATACCAATAAATTGCTTGAAATTAAGGTTTTAGTTTTACTGTTGCTGACGATTTTTTAGCCCAGTTGACAAAAATTCACCGTGAACTATTGTCATACTTTTCCGTCCGTTGTCCATACATCATCTGTGTACATTTCTTGAAAGATTTTCTTCTCTGAAACAGCTGAACACTTTTTTTATAAACTTGGAATAAATGAACCTTAGGTTAAAATTAAGAATGTAAATGTGGAATGTGTCAAAGAGACAACAACCCGACCAAAGAGCAGAAAACAGCCCAAGGCCACCAATGGGTCTTTTATTTACATTGTCATTTCGGGGCCTTTTATAGCTGACTATGCGGTATGGGCTTTCTTCATTGTTGAAGGCCGTACGGTGACCTATAGTTGTTAATTTCTGTGTCATTTTGGACTCTTGTGGAGAGTTGTCTCATTGGCAATCATTCCACATCTTTCTTTTTTTATATTTGTACAAAAAATATTTACACGCCTTTTGATTTCCGACTGGACGTAAAGCAACAAACAATCAATCAAGGTCATATTTTAATGTGGATGTTTTATCATTGTGAACTAGGAGACCGTTCTTTTTAAAGGTCATAGGTCAAATGTGAAGGTAATTTTTGGGGGGATAAATAAATGAATGTGCATTTAAATAGACAATCATATAAATCATAATCAATTTATTTCACACACAACACTAACTCATAGATATTCAGATATAGACTTATATTTTGTTGTTGATTGAAGTCTTATTAAAGTTTATTCATCACCAAACACTGACTGAATCAGCTGATCCCGCAATCTCCTGCCATCACTGCTGTCCATCTGTCCTTCATTGCGATCATCATCTCCAGGCAGTATATCGTCTATTTCCATTTCTTCTGTCGGAAGGGGTATATTCTTCTCCATGCACTTATAATGCAATCCTGCTGTTGCTAGGATAACATTTAAATTTCTCACTGGGGAAAGTGTAAGTCCTCTGAAAAGACAACGAAACCGCATCTTCCAAATTCCATATGTTCTTTCTATTACCGAGAGAGTGGATCTATGAGCTATGTTGTATTTTCTCTCCGCGGCGGTTGTTGGGAACAGGACAGGTGTCAACAACCAAGGCTTCAGTCTATAGGCACTGTCTCCAAGTAACCACCCATTCTGTATCTGTCCGGACTCAAACGCAAGTGATAAATTACAATTATTCCATATGTGGGCATCATGGGTCGAACCTGCCCAACGTGCTACAACATTGAGGAATTGATTTTTAGCGTTGCAAATACATTGTATATTAAGAGCGTGGTACCCTTTTCTACATACGTATAAGTGTTCGTCGACAGATGGTGCCTTAATTGGAGTTAGAGTTCCATCAACTGCTCCGAGTACCAGAGGGAATTCTTTTATTTCATAAAAGTCAAACATAACTGCTTGTCTTTCGTCCACAGACATCGGAAATTTCACATAGTTTCTTATATTGTTCGCTAAAGTTTTGGAAATAATATTGACGCAACGAGAAACTGTCATCTTGCTAACGCCATGGGCATCCCTAATCACACCCATATAACTTCCACTTGCGTAATACCTCAACGCTATCATGACTTGAAGAGACACCGGTAGAGATTGCGACCTCCTTGTTGGTTTTTCTAGAACAGCTTGAAGTTCCCCACATAAAGCGTAAATACTCAATATCAAGACGATAAGACTTTATTATTTGTTGGTCTGTCATAAAATCCAGAGGATTTGTTCGATCCCTGAACAATCTTCTAGTGAATTCTTGCTGTTGTTCACGTTGTCTTAGTTGTACATACAGTAGCAACGCCATTTTGTTATATTATTAACAAGTGAATGTGCAGCTAAGAATAGTCGGACCACTCTTACAAAAAATATCAAGAGAAGCTATTGCGAATTGTTCTTGGTACACCCCTAAGTCGCTAAGTTTGATTTAAGAACACTTTATAACTGACCAAAATTTAAGAATGATTTAGTGTTACCGGAATTAGTAAGATTGCTTTAAGGTAGACTTAAGAACGTTCTTAAATCATGCACTTTTTCAAAACATTAAGGGCTGTCAATCATTCTAAGATAGGTCTGAGGTTGGGTCTTGTTACACTCTTAAATCTTAAGACGATCTTTAGACGTTCGTAAGACATAATAATGCTTCTTGTTACCGGCCCCAGGTGGCCTTTTCTTTCTGTTTCCATGTAAACTTGTTACAAATACATTATGATTTTTTGACAATTTACTAATTTTGTATAATTATACGTATGCAGGTATCTTTATATGAATATCTCTAATGAAACTTACCGTGTATGTGTTATATGAAATGTCAATGGACAAGTCGTTATCATCACAACTTCTGACCTCAGAATGAGGCGACTTCAGTGGAAAAGAACTGTCTCTTGAAACTTTTTCACATGTCCGCAACACAAACAGTGAATTCCGACTTTTAATGGCAACGCCACAGAGACAAGATGACCCTTCCCAGCCGAAACCACAATTTGTAAACAAAGAATGTACCTAACATCGACATATCTAGTTATCCAGTATAAATTTAGAATTCTATGCATTTTGAAGTAAAAAAAAATGAAACTGGTATTGTAATAATAACTACTATTTACTATATCGTATAAATTTCTAATGATTGTAAGAATTACTATTTCTTTAGAATTATATATTATCTTGAAAAATAAAGTTAAATTTGTTAATTCGTCAAGAAAACTACTATTGAAGCAAGTAACGGTGCAATCTAATTATGTCTTTAAAATGTCTGGTAACGCAAAGCAGTATCATGTGTGTTACATTTTGTAATATTATTGACTATTGTCTTAACCTTTTCGTCAGCACATTTGATATTTTTGTATTACAGCAAATTTAATTTCCTTTTTTGAATGTGTTAATGTTAATTTTAACTTTATGAAGGACACATTAATACAATTTCACTTCCGTTTTCCTCCTTTATAAGCTGATACGATCCATGAATAAGTATGAATTATTGTCATTAAAAATGTTCGTCGGTCGTCTGTCGCCAATTTTCTTCTCTGCAACCAAAGGACGAATTTAAACAAATCCTTCATGAAATGGGTTTAAGAGGAAATCCATTACAATCGTAGATCTGCTTTATGTTCCTTTGAAATTTTAAACAGAGACGAAAAACTGGATCTGTATTCACTCTACTGGATAACTGAATTACACAACTGTCCTTACACGCAACGTAATATTGCTCGGTCTGTCCAGTGCTCCACACAACTCAACCAAATTATTTACCTTTATTGTATCAGCTATCAAAACTTGGATACAGAGTTACTTGTTATGAATCAGATGTAGATACTAGATAATTCCAAAGATCTGTAATACTACATACAATCGAAGTCCCTCTCCTAGTGCAATAGTAAACAAAACCCTACTTTTTTTAAATGGACAAATCTCATACTTTTTATATTTATATATTTTTTTTATTTTTTGGGGGTTGGGGTGATGTTGTTTTCTTCCCTTCTTCATTTTCCTTCTAACTATGTTATTGATTGTTCCTCTTCGACTTGGAAGAAAAGAAGAAGAAAAAACAGACAATAGAAATTTTCGGGACGCTTTATATATAGTAATCTTGTATCTAGTTCAAACATGTTTGTTGAGCGTCTGAAACAGTTGTACTTGCGAAACGTTAATATAAAAAAGGAGATGTTGTATAATTGTCAATGAGACAACTATCCACCAAAAAGCAAATGACTAAGATGTTATTAACAATGGGTCAAAAAGTGAGCAAAATTCAAACCACATTGGGAACTTTAAAAGGCCCCGACATGACAAAATGTAAAACAATTTAAACGAGAAAAATTACGGCTTTGTTGTAGTGACAAATACAAAATAGAATTTAAAATGATAAATAGTAACAAACGACAACCACTGAATTAAAGGTTCCTGACTTGGCACTGTAACATATAGAATGTGATTGAGTTTAACGTGTTTGCAGGTGACAAACCCTTCCCTTACTTGGGACAGTAGGAAATCTTTTAAAGGCTTGAATCAGTTCAACAATTTCAGGGGGTAAAGTAATGGCTCTATCATACCTCCGCCCTTAAAATAACCAGTCCCTTTATTTTATGCTTGTAAAAAGTCATGCTTCATTCAGTTTTACATTTTACATTTTATGTTTGGGGCAATAAATGATCGTCTTCTGAATTTATCCCTAAACATTAAATGCAAGAAAAAAATGTTCTTACATGTACTATAAAAAAAAGACTACTGCTCACATGGTTTATGTATAGAGACAGCACAGGACAATGTTGCGATGTTAAAATATCACGACATTACTCGCCCCCTTTTTTATCGGATATTGTTAAATCAAAATGTTACTTATAGAAAAATAAAAGTTCTTGAACATGGGGAAAAACGATTATAACTGACCCTTCATTACCCTTTAGAAGAAATTATGTACAACTCCTTTTTATACAGTGGCCGAGAAGTATTTTTCACGAACAACTTTTGGCTATATATTACATTTTTTAAATATAAATTTTATAAAGTTATTTATAATTGGATTTCAATCAACCAAAAGAAAAAAATTATCACAAATCTATTTGTTTATAAGTTATATTTATCCTTGGACAATTATCTTTTACTAGTGATATAAACAATAATTTTTTATCCCTAAGTTTGCCATATATTTTACCCAAATTAGTTTGCAAAATATTAATATCAATGTTCACATCATAGTAGAAAACAAAAACACAATCGAAGATAGAACCCAAAAAATCTTTTTAAAAACTGTTATGATATGAAAATATATAGCCAAAATTGTAGGTGGCAAATACGTATTGCATAATACTTTACAATATTCCCTTACAATTAAAAAAAGAACTTGATAATTGGTCTTGCGTTTATTTTCAAAAATTAATAAGTTAACTTTACATTCATGAGTCTCCTTGGTCCATCAACATAGAAAGATTTTAATCGGTCAATTTAGCATTATCAAAATGATCTCCTGGTCACCGCTATTGTGAATGCCGTTCGCGTAGAAAAAACAACTTTATAAATCAATATGAGAAAAAAAAAACGCCAAAAAGACGACGTCAAAAGAATTTGGTACTGGCGACGTCAAATTGTCATTGCCTATTGGCAACGTCGAAACGTTGATTTTTTTAAATGTGGCATCAAGAGGGTTAACTTTTGTTGTTTTTTTTCTAATACCCGTAACGTTGTTAAGTACGTGACGTCATAGAAAATACTTTTAAAAGAAAATTAATCTGTACAAGACAATAATGATAGGACATTCAGTATAATAAATTAAATAACACATAGCTGAGAGGGTGATAGAGCAGATTGGTACCCCTCGTAAAAGCATTGTAAACCTTGGCTTCGCCGCGGTTGACAATGTTTTCTCGGGGTAACAATCTGCTCTATCACCCTCTCACCTATGTGTTATTTATATAATGACATATATTATACTAAGTGTATTTACACATTTTTTCCCCGATGTAATCGATAGATCCCGTGTAAATATTACTATATTTTCAAAACCCTCATGAATTAATAAATGTCTTCAGGTTACAGGAACAAGTGAGGGTATTATTGTGATCATAATGTCACTATAATCTTACAATTGAATTGTTTTGTTAGACAATTTATTTTTTTTATCAAAATGTTTTCTCACGTTATTTTTTGAGATTTGTTTTTTTTTAAATAATATAAGATGCAACCGAATACTTTTTTCATTCATTGATATTTTTTTATAACTGTAAAAATAAAAGAAATCTTTTAACAAAGAATCAAAAGACTTATTCGTGGCATAGGACGGACACTATTTCAGTTGTGTTTTGTATACTGGTGTTTGTCTTTTGGTTTTCTTCTCTCATTGCCATGGCGTTGTCTGTTTATTTTCAACTTATGAGTAAGTATCTTTCGCCTCTCTTCAACATTTTAAATACAGAATAAAGTAATCACAAATATATACAGCAAACATACATTTGAAAGCAAAATAAACAATAGACAAGACACAATTTAGATTTTGAGGAAAAACTCCAACCCCTTAAAAAAACCTGCAAAAATGTGTATGCAAATATGTGGTATCGCAAGTCCTTTTAACCGGCGTTTACAATTTTGCTTGAAAGTACAAGAGAAATGAAGTGAGAAAAACACTATTATTTTACGTCAAATTTTTACCGTAGGGAGACAATCTCCCTCTTGTCTCCTATCTTCTGCTGCCGCATACTAATAAATATTATATTTTACCCAGTATGGTCCTTTACTGTTACGGTATAAAACAAATTCTCCAACTTCCATGTAATAGTATACTTTCCCATCAAATGTACGAAAATGCGGATCGTTATAGACTTGGCATAATCGGCCGGTCATCGTTGAGTCCTTATCAAAACGTTTACCTTTGGTAGGAAAAGAAGAATGTAATCAATTAATGGAATCAAACAGTTATATAGTTCACATGTAACATAAAGTATCCTACTTCTATAGATATCAGGGAATTCAATTGGTACTGTGACGTCACGTGCTGATCGTACAGATCTGATACACGGTCTGTACAAAAATCAGCGTCATTGAAATTGCCAGATATATGACGGCATCTGTTGAAGTTAGAAATAGATACGCACTTTTTTTTCAAGAACCAGATTGTAGGGTATAAATATAATCCGATCACCAGTGACCTAAAATGGTACATGCACGATCAGTAAACATATTTGAACATATATAACGTTAAACTATAATGCAATATACATGTAAGTCCGCAATGGACCAACATTTATCGCTAAAATGCTGAGCTATGTTGATTATTTCGTCGGCTTATTCCCCGTTAATTTGCATAAAATGTTTGTACCAAGTTACTTCGTTCTTTTGGTTGATATAACGTTTGATTTTGTCAGGTTTTATGGACTTCCTCCTTTTTTTTAATTTACCTTTGAGTTCGGTATTTTTGTTGATACTTTTGTATGATATATGGTTTATGTAAAAATAGTAGTTTTACTCTTTCCAAAAGTAATCCAATTCTAGTAAAAAGCTGCAAATGGTTAAAAACGACAATTGTAAATAATTTGTTATTTATTTACTTCTTAACATAGCCTTTTGCCGCAAATTGATTGACAACATATTTGTTAAGGTTGGTAAATGTGGTTTTCCATTGACTGCCTATGGAAACTAACGGTTCCGCTTCGCAGACTTTTTCTCTTATTAATACTGGCTTTTTTTCAAAGAAGAATGAAAGTTAGCAAACTATTCTTTAATTTCACGTACCGCTATATTGAAGAAAAGTATTTTCACTGAATATGTTGAAGGTTGGTGACTATGTTGATCGCATATTTCCGATTGAGTTTGTATTTAACTATACCACGGTTTCGGATCGGGTTACCCGGTGTGAGACACAGTACGATTGCTGCATAGCTTTGCTTACATTTAGAACTAAACGATGAGCATCGGCTTATAGATAAGCTATATTACAAAAGATACTATGTTAATTTTCCAATAAAGATTTTTCCATTTTTATTGAGCAACATTCCAGCACGTACATATGGAGAAACTATTCCTGGCCTTGCAGTCATAAAAAAATAGAGTACAATTATCGTACTCAGACTCAGAATTCCACCAATCAAAATACTGGATTCGGTGTTTCGTGTACAAATTTTGTATTCCTAGTACTGAATACTGAGTAAATTTGAATGACCGAGAGCACTGGGCTTGTGCTTCTTATCATGATTTTTTAGTACAAAGGTTCTTCAGTGTGCAGGAGAGAGTGGTAATCTTTCAACACGATTAATAGGATTTAACGTCATCGCTCAAGCTAGACTTGGATGTGTATTTTCCCACATGGGTCTTACTATCGGCAGTGAAGAGGAGGTCCACGAAACAATATGTGTAAATTTTGATTATGTGCTGTGTCATTGGTATCAAATTCACGACCTTGTTGCAGAGTACGACAAATAATACTGGTTTCTACACGATCCAATATCGCTACTCTGTGCACAGTGTTACGTTATCGTATTTAATTTTCTAGGGACTGTTTAAACATAAATACTCGATAAGAGTATATCAGAATGACCATATATTCCTATGATAACCTACGGATAGCATTTATCTAAAAGGCCAAGACGAATTGATTGTTTAATTATGAGAATTTTAAAGGAAAAACATTTCTTTGTCATAAAACGTATTTTTTCACCTGTGGACTATATTTTAATTATTTTTTTCAAACACTTCACCAACAAACTTCGATTTAGCAATTAGGGCTAATAATATATCTGTTTTTTTTTTTTAGAAACACCGATGACAATGATAACAACATCTTTGTAATTAATTTTCTTTTAAATATAGAATTCTTAAACATTCTTTTCATCTTATTGTCACAGTATTAGGTTGTATGATTTTAGGTAGCTTTGACTGTTTAAAGTCCATTCCAGATCTTAGCGTATAGCATGAATGTGGTAATTTGTATTTAAAAAACAAATTTCAGACCCAGAATATTTGCAGTCGTTTTAAATAATATTATTCTAGACCAATCATTGGTGGTAATTTTTTTTGTAAGAACGCAATGTTAACTGTTCAAAGTTAGAATCTTAGAATTGTACAATATGCAAGTATTTTCCTGAGTAAGGGAGTAAATAGAATCTGAATCGTTCACTTATCGTCTTACCTTTATTTCAGAAAGACTAAGATTCGTCCATATGTCGTGAAACGCAGAGATTGTATTTGTTGAAAGCCGGATATACGTCGATCTGTCCTGATTATTGTCTATTCCATCACTAAACCCGTATACTCTCAGGTATGTTGTCTCCTCCCAGTTAATGCTATTCAACTTTATACCACAAAACTCAGCGTTAAATACAATGTCTCTGTTTGCAATATTATTGGAGCACACAGGTCCATTTTTCGGAGGCTGAAATGCATACACGTCTTTAGTACAAAACTTTCTTTGAAATCCAGGTATCGATGTGAAGCATGCAACAGGGACGGTTTGAGTGAACGCAATTTCGATAGATTCTCCTTCAATAACAGTATATTCATACTTTTCAGGCTACAACAAAAAATGAACCATGAATGCATTAAAAGTCAATAACTTTACGTAGGATTTATCTTAATTAACGAACCAAGGGGTGTGGTAAATACCAATGCGACTACAAGAAAACATATACTAGGTAACACAAATAGGACTCTAAACGCTCGTAATGCGAGATTTTGAAAAGGAAAATTGGCCAAAACGTATTACAATAGTAAATTGACCTTGTTATAGAGTCATTCACATAACCTGCACCATCGCCAAATATCTAATACGTTAAAACAAGCCACAAAACAATAGCAAAAAATCAAAAAACAAAGTAAAAACATGTCAAGACAGCGACAATCACATTAAACGGTATCAATTTTGTCCCACCAGATTTGTATTCCGACAAACTATGTCTTTTCAGTGATGATCAGGGCCTAGATATTTCAAAACAAAAGCATAAAACTTTCAAAGACTTATGTAATCGGAGAAACCCATAGCATTGAATCAACTGACAATAATTCTGCATTGGTACAAATATAAGCATATTGTTATATATATATGTAATGCACTCCCTGGAACATTGGAAATTCCCAAAGCATATAAGCACTTACATACTCACAATTGTGTGGTTTGCATAGCACTTCATAATCTATATTTGAGTCTTTTACAGACGAAACGCGCGTCTGACGTACAAAATTTTAATCCTGGTATTTATAATAAGTGTATTGTATTCACAAATAAAAATGAATACCACTACAAAAATCTCTGAACAAAAATCTATGCAAACAATCTTAGGAGAATTTTATTAGCTACTTTAAACTGTTTTTATTGCTCTTCTATCAATGAGGATACGAAGTAAAAAATAAGAACAAATTCCAACAATAAAAGGGAGTTTATTTTCCGCGCATATTTAAAGAAACGATTTAGTGTTAACTTAATAGACAGTGGAAAATTATTACAATTTATGAAATTGATTTATAAAATCGAAACGAATTCAAGTTTAATACTTACATATAGTCCGGCATAGAAGATTTTGCTTCGATGAAATGGACTTGGAACGGAACGTGCAATGAATTGCAGTCGGAGAGAACACGTTACCTAAAAATTTAATCGATATAACATTTATTTACAATTTCATATAGATTTTTGTTCTAAATTTAAAAAAAAGGTATATTTTAACCTCAGGCCAATGTATTTATGACATGTGTATATTTAAAGGAGTGTAGCGTCAGCGTGTCACCCTATTCAGTGCTGGATATTCAATTTATAGTAAAGATGATATTAAAACAAGAAATAGTTAATACAAAAATTATTTTAAGATTTTCAAGCGGAGGGGTTTGCGAACCCCCCCCCCCCCCCCCCCCCAAACACCCCCTAAATCCGCTAGTAATTTTACTTCATTGTACTGCGGTTATTTATATTTCGAAACAGTTTATTTTAAAATGATTTTGTTGTATAACTAGGCAAAAATTGTCCTTTTTACAACTTTTTGGTATTATAATGATTGATAAAAAGTTGATGATATATATTATGCCAAGACAAATACAATTATTTTTTGGTTTATTTGTTTTAAGTTTCCCCCTGAACCATTAATCAGATACCCACATGAAAACAAGACAGTCTAATGAATTAATTTGCTAATGATTACCTCCATATTCATAGTAAAACTGCTTGTCCATTCCGAATCCTTAAGCACTGTACTTCCAAGGTCAACAAACGGTATATTCTTATGCTCGGTAACATTGATTCCGTTTATAAACCAGAAAACGTCATACACATAAGTTCCGTTTGGCATGTCGTCAAATTTACAAACAAATATGGGTACCAGACCAGACGTAGAACCAGTTTCACTTTGAGCCTGAGTCAGTGTAGCATTCACATATGGTGTGACAATTTCAGCGGGAAATGATGCTGAAAAAATATCTTACAACTAACAATTAAAATAGCCTACTTACCAACTCATCCATTATCCTTGTCATAAGACGGTGACTTACTTATATAAATTAGGGATAGGAGCCGGTTCTGTTTTCAGGATGCATAAATATAATAACATACAAAAAAGTGGGGATGATTTTAACGGGGCAAACAGAATGCGTAAGTCGAATTGAAACGCCATGGCCAAAACAAACAAAGAACGAAATTAGTAGTAAAGTTGATGATATTGAGTTTATCTTTTGATTGGTGAAAAGAACATGACTTGACATGAAGAAAAGAACAATTTGTAATCTACATGTCTGAAGTCATATGTTCTCATAATTTAGTCCTCGAATCTGTACACATCATTATTTGCTGATTCCAACTCAAACTTATTTTGAACGGCCATTTAAGGGGAAACGGTCTTTCTTACTTTCTTTCTCTGTAAATAAGACCAAAGGAAGGTCAGCTAAATTGACA